ACCCATGGCAGCAAGGAAGCCAGACAAGTAGCATGAATATTTTGCATGTTACACACTTTCACCTGGGCCTGCTGACAAGGGGCCTACGATAAAAGATGATGCGGATATCAAATTGTCAAATTTAACATTCTGGAAGCTTACTGAAGTTAAATATGATTCAAATCTGAAGAATAATCTCATCTCTGTGAGCCAATTGATAAAGTCAGAGTTTGTGAATATTTTCATAGGTGATTTGTGGAAGATGGCCTAGAGGAACATCGAAGACACTCTTTATTTGATTAACGAAAAGACTAATTTCATTAACGTAGCTGGAACCAAGGTTAATGCAAGATTCTGACACCGCATGATTAGCCATATGACCAAGAAAGATGTGAATTCTCTACTTTTACTTAATAAACTTCATGGTTTAAAATTAATAGATTTGCAATTGGTGGTGCTACTCATCCTATGGACATGTGCGTAAACCCAAAGACACAGAACTAGAAATAATTGGTTGACCAAAAGTAAGGTGCCTTTGAGGTATCTAGTAGCCCGTTTAATTGTTGGTAAATGTAAGAGAGTGTGTTGATGCATTTGTTGACTTAAATAATTAAAAATAAAAGTTATATCATGACGAGTGACAGTGAGATGTTATAAAGAACTTATGATTTTCATGTATTGATCCGGTTCAGACGTGGGTGTGGAGATGTCAAGTTATTTATGAAGATGAGTGGGAACATGGGACAAAATTGGTTTGGTTTGAGACACGCTAATGTTAGTTAATAACTAAGTTAAATATTTAGTTTCATTTGAAAAATATCCTTTGGAAGTTTTGGCAATCTGTAATCTTAAAAAAATGAGAAATTGATGTTGGGATTTTTTCTTTAAGATTCCCAAATTAGTTAATGATGAGAATTAAATTTTGTTTCTTTAGAATTCCCAAATTAATTAAAACTCTATTTTAATTTCAATACCCTTTGGAATTCCAAATTAATTTCAATACCCTTTGGAATTCCCAAATTAATTTCAATACCCTTTGATATTCCCAAATTAATTTCAATACCCTTTGATATTCCCAAATTAATTTCAATACCCTTTGATATTCCCAAATTAATTTCAATACCCTTTGGAATTCCCAAATTAATTTCAATACCCATTGAAATTCCCAAATTAATTTCAATAACCGTTGGAATTCTTTGGTGTTTTTAAGAGAAATAATTTTCAGAATGTGGTTCATATAGTGTCTAATAACATTCCATAATGTGGTCACATCCATTGAACTCTGTGATGGGCAGAGTACTATAAATTAGATGTGATGTTTGCTTTTTTGGTCCTTAAGTTTGCTCCTCTTCATTTTATTTGCATAATCGGGTTGTGAGTGAGAAAAGCTTAGAAGATCTATAACAGAAAATTTGTCGTGTGAGTTGTGAGTGTCGATTCTGTTCGTTTAACTTATGGCTGGAGGTATGTATGATCCTATCTTGTTTCCGCTAATCGATTTAAAAATTAATTTTGTAAATTGAATATGGTATTTAGAATTTTTTACATTTGGTATCAGAGCTTTGATTAACCTCT